AAGAATATATTCTTACTGGAGGAAGTGTCAGACTTAAAATGATGGTTTCGAGCCAAACCGGTAAAGTGTCATAAACAGTAACCCTCATTACCCAGATAAGACTGCGGATGACAGTGACGTACAGTTTTTTTTTTGAAGCGGCTCATGGAATAAAAATTGTTGAATAAAATAACGCACATAACAGATTTATATTATGTATTAATTAATGTTATTTAAAATATTTAAATCAATCAATACATCACGAGTAACAAGTAATACAAACAGTGAATACCGTTAAAAAGTAGAAACAACCAGGATGACGACGCCACTGAGTAGTGGTTATTCGCAATGGCGTGACTAATTTTTAGCTTGGGAAGTTTGAAAAGTTTATTGAGGGGCATTTCACTCGGAAGGCCGACTATTCACTCAGAATTATTTGCTTAATCTGCCGGATGTAGGTGGGCAGATGTAAACTGAGACTTTAATCTTCTCCAGCCCATGTTGTAAATTTTTGTAGGATGCTAAATGCGGAGAATAATAAAATCAGGTAGCAGCCCGTAGCAGGGTCATTCATGGAAAACTGCGCACCAATTATTTCTTCCTTTTTTTTTAGATCTAAGAGCTGTTTTACACGTCACAGAAATATCTATCGTAAAAGGAATTTTTAGAAATAATTTTCTCGTGATTAATCGATTGCAAAAGATCAAGAGGCACTCCAAACAAGCGCTGACAAACTTATTGGCGGCGCCAGCGGAGATCTCCAACTGGCTGCGGTACCACCATGGACACTCGCGTAACCTCATTTTCCAGAATTGTCAAAATGACATTGTCAAACTCAAAGCAATCATGGATTAAGCATTTCATTTTAAATTTAGTATCAAGTGGTACAAGGTATTCGTATTTTGGGTTGCGTAAAAATAATATTCAGAAGTGATTTTCTCGTGACTAACCCTGTATATGTATTTTTTACACCCACATATGGTACAACTGAATTTTTCTTCAGTACAATACTAGTCACATAATAATAATTAAAAAGTAAGTTTTTAGTTGCATAAGTACCTACATTTCTTAGATTTCCCGGTAACACAAAATTATTCTTGACGCCCTAGCAAAAGTTTTTGCAAAATATAATATGTATTTACAATACACGTAAACCTTTCACAAACCCTGTAAAAGATCCGCTGCAATTTACAAGGGTTTAAAATAAGTATTATACTCGTCCAGTGGAATTTACATTCGCTGCATATGAGTACTCTAGATGTACTATTAGTTCATAAATTTTATTGTTTGGTAATATGTACGAGTATAAAGGCAAGAATAGACAATAAAGGCAATTCTGTTTCAAAATGTGTTAAAATTTAAAAGTTGTTAAAAATAGGTATGATTTTTTAAATAATAATGTGTTAAAATTTAAAAGTTGTTAAAAATAGGTATGATTTTTTAAATAATTATATATATTAATATTAATGAAGCTAGTTCCTATAATATAATAGGTAAAATAAGCAACGACATAAATAGTAACAATTTCTTAAAAAAAAATAACCAAAATGACAATTTATGAATAAAAAATCTTATGTAACAAGGTGTTTACGCTCGTATTTTTTAATTTTTAAAGTGCAACTACAAACTTCGTCACTTATCTATATTCAAATTGTTTTTAATTCGATATTTATACCTTACCTGATTGCTAAATTTATTGCAACAAAATATTTAGTTTTAATAAAAGAAAATACTTCCCGATGAATTTTACCTTGCGACCAATTAACGCTGCGATAAATTTACGTGCGATCATTTGTCGCTGCGATCAATTTACGTGCGATCAATTGTTGTTGCGATCAATTGTCCTGCGACGAGTTGTTTGCGATAAGTTGTTTGCGACCAGTTGAATCGTCGTTATGACGTCACGCTCGAGTTAATTTAATGTGCTTTAATTTCAAATTACAAACTTAGAACGCTTCAATTTCCACTGTCGTCCTTACATCTTGGTCTAACTTATTTGTATAAAGCACGAAATTTTAACTTTAATGCACATTTAAGACGGTAGTTTTCTTTTGTAATAATACCAGATAGTAATTCCATCGTTATGCCTGGTTGAACTTTGCAACCTCATTAACGGACAATAGCGGACAATAATAATTGTTCGCTGGTGTCTGCTTAATTCTCCGAATCCTAGCATTTCTCACTAACTGCATATCAGCAGAGTCAATTGTTTGCAAGGTAAAATTCATCGCAAAGTATTTTCTTTTGTTAAAATTCAATATTACTCTGATTATTCTTAGGGCGCAATAAATTAAAAAAATAGGTAAGGTATAAACTTTGAATTAAGAACAATTTTATTGTATTTAGTTAAGTAACAAACTTTGTGTCGTTCTTTAAAAATTAACAAACGAGCTTAAACCACTTGTTACAGAAGACTTTTTATTAATAAAATGTCATCATTTATTTTAAAAAATTATTACTTTAATTATTGGTTATTTTACGTTTTGGATTATGCGAATTAGCTTCATTATAATAAACACTCAACTAAAAAATATTGTACTTAGTTAGATTTATTATAAAACTATTTAATTTAAACATTATGTTTATATGAATGGGGGTTCTACATACGACTATTGTCGCATGCCACATTTAGCATCTCATCTTTAATTCTAATTATCAGTTCGTTCTGCTCGCCAAATCTTCTTAGAAATGGAAATTTAGACCTTTGTGGACAGCCTATTTCCATATCTTCCAACTTCTTTTTTCACTTTTCTAAGATTACTAAAAGGGTTGGTAAAAGACAACAACCTTGCTCTAATGCTTTGATGGGCTTAGCTCTTCTGAAACATTTTTCCGGCCTTAAATTGAATGATTTATCTATATAACTATTACTAATGCTTACGTAAGTGCTCTTTATTTGCTTTTACTAAGTATTTCCAAACGCTTATTAATAAGAACGTTACTATACGCCTTCTCCAGGTCCATGAAGAGTTACAAAAAAAATGAAAATGCTTAAAATTTGGTACAAAGTACAACGTGGATGATCTAACTAAAATTATACTTATTTTGTTGTACGTCAGATAGCTTTTCACATACTACCTTGGTAAATTTAGAACGAAAGATGCGTAAAAATATCACCCACCGACAAGCTACAATTCACTCTATTTCCATTATTTCGCTAAGAAAATCTGTATCATCACCGTCATTTTCAAATTCAGATTCTGAATCAGATTCACCTAACGAAATAATGAAATAAGGTATAGATTCGTAGGAAAGATTTCCCATATTTTTTCCCAATCTGCCAAAATAAATTTTTCACAATGTTTACAAAAATTTTGCCACATGCTGAGAGTACATTTAGAAAGCGCCTCAAGCCATAAATTCTCCACTCTATTTTTTAATGAAGGTTGAGAATTTATGTGCTTGTTGTAATAGTTCTTACAAAATCCCCACGCCATTTCAATTGGATTATATTGACAATGGTACGGAGGTAATGGCCACTTTCTCTTAATGTCTCGTCTACCAAATATCCTTTTTTTTGTATTGTTTCTGAAGGGTTTAATTAAATCCCACAACTGTTTCTTCGAAAATTTTTTGTCAAATTCAACACCATGTTTAAAGAGCCATTCCTGCATTTCACATTTTTTACTAGAAAAAGTGGGTGGTTTATCCAACTGAACCGAATGATACGGTGCATTGTATAGAACCACCACACATTTTTGGTTCAACTTTGCCAAAGCAGGAATGAGCTGATTAACCACCCAATTTTGAAAAATTGTCCCGTCTATCGTTTTATGATAGTCTCTATACTTATTTTTTGAATTTAAAAAATTGTTACAACCATCCAAGAACCCCGTTGAACAACCCGCGTGGAGGATAGTAAACCTTCATCTTTCACTTTTAATTTTGGTGGGATTGCTTTTTAGATCAGTATCGTGCACCCAGCGATGAATGGACGAACCATTTTGATAGATCCATGTTTCATCCAAATACACGAAAGTCAAATTTTCACAAGAATTTGGAAACTGGAAATATGTTCTCAAAAAAGTAATTTTGGCTGCAACTACATGTTTTTGTTCACATAGAATTTTGCGACCATTTACTTCCCTGTGTTTATAACCCATTGAGTTAAGAATTTTCTGCAATGTGGTTCGCCCCCCTTTAAATTCCAACTGTTCCCTAGAATATGCCAAAAGAGTATCTACAGTTCATTAAGTTAACAAATTTGTCGTTGCAGGTCTTTCCGAAACATATACGTAAATTGTAAATAAATCCGCTGATTTTCGCTTGCGAGATAATGACGTTTTTAAATTTTGGTCCCCTGTTGATAAAATTTTCGCCACAGTTGATGTTCCCACCTATGTGAAAAAAATTAAAAAATATTTTGCAGCGTATTTTCACATTATGGAAAATATGTTCGAGACCCTCTTTTCGAAACTGCAAAAAAACATCTTTTATTGCAATTTTTTGTTGCAATAAAACTATTTTAGGCATTTTCCTTTTAAATAATGTCGCAGTGATCTGTGAATCTGTCACAATAACCAATTATCTCTACTGACAAAATTAAAACATTTGTTTGCTTGATTAAAAAATTGCGCCTAATAATTCTGATCTAATAAACGAAGTAGAAAAGTGGCAATCCAGATCAAAGCAAATGTCAATCAGACTACTGACAGACAAAAAACTAAATCATCAAATCAGTTTATCCAACTTAAAGAAAAAATATCAAAGCCTACTTTACTGTATAAAGATCGTGAATGGATAATAGTAAGGAGAGTAACTGACAGATGTATGTTGAGTTGCATTGAAAACTGGTCAGGGTCCCGTTATTATAATATTCACCCTGTATACAGAGGTACTTGGATTTAATTAATGCGCATATTTGTTGTCCTATTTTTTACAGATTAGTTGAGTATTTGAATGAAATCTTTACACTGACGCGATTCAGTTATTATTTACCCGGCGCATCCACCATTTTTTTAATGCAGTGTGAACATGGAAAATAGTTTCACTCAAAAGAGGACAATAAAATCAAGCTTGGGGGATGTTCATATATTTTTATTCCCATGCACATATGTCACAACACACGCAATATACAAATGACACATAAAAGTTTCGTCAAAATATTGCTTCACCAATTGCAAACACCATTTATCACCCACAAAGTGAACGACCTTCCTAAAAACAGGACGGTTCTCTTATACCTAAAATTTAGTAAAAGATAATATTGTCAAAATAATTGACATCATCCTTAACATAACGACTACACTACGTCATAATTGCTTCAGGGTGCCAGTGGTAATTATTGTCTTCATTTTTTTTTAACAGTTTTGGAACCACCGTATACTTATTTACAAAAATAAATAGATCTGCTAATCTAAAAGTTCACTTTGTCGGTCATAAAAATAAGTAAAACTCTATCTAGGACACAGAATGTTTAAAATCACGTTGGAAGAATCAGGTCCTTGTCCATTGCCGGAAGTCGTCGTGGGGTTTAGTGGGAGGGAACCTCGCGTTTGTAGAAGAGTTTGCTCTCGGGGTGCCACCTGGGTGGGGCATCGGCTTGGTATTCTTCTTTTTCGATTTCGCTTTCGAGGAGCTGGAATTGTTCAAATATGAGAACACAGATTATGCTAGTAATATTTTGTCTATTGTTACAATGTACATGGTATTTGGACCATTTAATTTAACATAACACTGTTTTTTTTTGTCAAGTATTCTGGTTAAATGTACAAGTGATAGGAGTGAATATGACGAAAGAATACCGAGTCTTGTTGCACAGATTTGCTGAATTTTGCAGCAGATATGGGACATGTTTTTAGACTTAGGAGTATCGCATAGATGATGACACGTAATAATTTGATGACGTTTTCTCAAATTTTTGTCAAAAATATTTGTAAAAACATTTTACAACTTCACTTAAAAACTGCGAAATCAAATGCTCTGAAATCTTGCAAACGTTTTAAGATTATCGTTAGCATAGTAAATCGTTAATCAAAATTTCTCTGTTTATTCGTTTCAAAAACTTGATGAGTCATCTGAAACTTTTGCTGGATGAATCCTATCTAAAATGTGCAAAATATCCTAAATCGACACTTTTGTTTTATCAATAAATTTAAATAAATATATCTAAATATTCAACTACTTGTAAAGTCAACGTCAACTGTGTGTTGCTAAATTTAAAATTATAATTTAATCTTTACTCACTTTACTATTTTTTCAGCTCACCAACACGCTCAATCAAAGAAAATGTTTTAAATTGCTTAACTCGAATTGCTAAATCCGTAATTCAAATATTTTTCAGAAATATTTCAATAATAATACGTCAATCAAAGCAAGTTTCTATCAATCTATTTAAAATTCGAAAAAACTTACATCTTTGAGTAGTTCTTTAAGTTTGTCCACTCTGTCGCTATTCGACCTGGTAGGCAGGTACCTAGCCTCGACGGTGTGGCGGGTTTCTAAGGCTAAGGTAGCGAAAATGACGAAAAGAACAGCAAACACAAACTTCCTGTCAAACATCCTGTCTGAAACCCAAACAAAAAAAATCAAAACCCTTCCCCCCAACACACACCCTTACCTGTTTTAACTAAAATTGCGGTGGGAAGACCTACGAATGCTCTAGATAACTAGCAACTCAACACTGCCCGAAAAATCCAAAGCCGCCACTTTTATACCCCCGAACCGCGTAGGAGGAACTGGGACAGGCCAAGTTTCATCTACGTAATGGGTTTTATAGTTACAAAGCGACCTTGTGGACTCTTCAAGTATACATTAAACTTTTTATCTGTATCTAGAATGTCAGGATACAGGGGTTCCCCGAAAATTTATAGCGCTTTCAGACGCCAAATCGATACGCCATCTGTGGAAGTAATGACGGCTTCACCTGATTTAAGGGGTGTACGTGACGAGGCGCCGGCACAGGGGGTGGTTATTGGTTTTTTTCAGGCGGGATGTGCGGTTTTTGCGTCCCTGGTAGATTGTATTGACGTGGGCGGGATATGGGGTAAGGTCACTGCGACGCTTCACTGTCTCTTGTCTTTGTTGGCGGTTCCGGAGTGGCGTCGCGGCGCCAGACACGCCGGCGGCGCAGGAGATTATGTGGGGGTTTCATAAACAAGATATAAATAATAAAGTTATGAGTGTGACAAATTGAATTTTATGGGCGATTTAGCCACGGAATAATGGACATTGATATTTAGAGTTACGGCATTGTCGGAGCTTTTAATGGTTCGTGCTTGCAGTGCTTGCGGTATCAACACGTGACCACGTGGGAAATGGGTGCGAGGTAACAGGTCATTACAATGAACAAAGCAAGATATCGGATTTTTTTTTTCGAATTTTCCACGTCTTTCAAACATTATTCTTGTCACAGACGCTGATTTTGGTATTAGTTCGTATATTATTGTTTATCTAACTAATCCTCAAACTAATATAAGAGAAAAACTTACCTAGAGGCAAGTCTGAAAGTATTAACATAGTTTTTACTTATGGACAACTGTTACAGAAAAAATATATAAAATATATAAAGTTGTTTAGACAGAAATTCCCTCGCCCGTGAATCCTGTAGAAATCCACTTTCTGAGATAAATCATCAGGCAAGTAAGATAATTTATAATCGAGTGGGTAGCATGTCGGTGATTCAGCTACACTGATAAATGTCAAAAAATAAAAAATGTAACAGCAAAAATGGCGGACGTATTATAATAAGACTGTTAAGAAAAGAAGTGTGAAATTACAAGGTAACTTGGTACAAGATTAGTTAAATTTAAAAAATAAGTAAAATTAATGCTGCCTCTGTTGTTTATGTCGTTAATTTCGTCTGCTAATATTAACCTTATTTCCTTTAAGTCACTGACAGGTGTTCGATAAATAGGGTTCTTTAAATTGGGCTTCAAGAAAATTCTGGAAGAGTAAGATTACAAGACTAATGAATTAATGATCCGGTTGTCAAAAAATTCCCGTAACATTGCTATTGTGGTCCTACCCGAATACGCTGTTGCCCCGTCTTGTTGAAAATAATCTACTTTTTCCATTCGTGCGTAAGATGCTTCTTACAACTCTTATTACGTAATATACTATTAAATATAATCCTGAGAGGTAATAAATGTAAGCCATGGTGAGATGATATTTTAAAAACCATAAACTACGATTCACGATTCACTGATTTTACGCTTGTCGGGGCAATGCATTTTATCTGTGTACCTGAGCAACCCGGGTCCGGTAGGCCCGCTGGTTGTATTTCTGTTATTAAATAAGAATAATTTTAATAATAAAAATATTTGTTTAAGGTATGTTATTATTTTTAGAAAATAATAATTGCCTGTTACATAATGATTAATTTTTTCAATTGACACAAATTAGTTTTGTAATCGACTAATCGAATGTTCAATACATACATTTCTCTCGCATAAATCGCATATTTGTTACTGTTTTATATCTTTATTTTTCAGTAAATGTAACATATTTTCCTGTTGCCACATGTGTCATTTCTTCACTTTTTCATTGTTGGACCTAACGCGAGGTGGGCTTGGCAGGTCCGTTTTGTCCTAGAATGTGCAGATTATGTTTAAGTGTAAATCTTGGGCAATAAAATTAGTATTTTTACAACCCTCAGTAGAATAATTTATTGTGATATATTCTCAGAAATGGTGAAACGAGATTAAAATAAAATGAGTTTCAACAAAAATCTGAAAATTTAAAGTTGCACTCTGGTGATTCCGGCCTGTCAGGCAGCCTTTGATCCTATAAGGGGTTTAAATACCTTTTTCTACCGCCCACGTTTTTTGGTTTTCTAATAGAGCTATTAACGCACGCAAATGACGTCACAGCAGTTCGTTAATAGCGGAAAGGCGTTCTTTAATAGATCTGGTGTAATTTAGATCGGTAAGATTGGTAGCAATGACGAGAAATGTCAGGTGAATGTCAGTGGCAAATCTAAACTTAAAATTTCCCATGTTTCCGGACGCGTAACTTCTTCGCAAGACATTTTAACCAATTTTAAATTACAAAAACTCGAATTGGTTCGAATTACAATTGTTGTTGTGAAAATTCGAACCTCAAATATTTCGTGCTTAGTGTCGACCCATCACCAACCACGACAAAAGTCCCCAGATTAAAAAAAATGCAAATTTCAATTAAATTTTGGGAAAAAACGTGTGCGGTAGAAAAAATAGTATAAATAACTCGTTCATAAGGCCATTGAGGCACTCATCTTTTATATAACTCGCGGCTTCGCCGCTCGTTCTATAAACTTGGATTCGTGCCTCAATATTTGCCTTATGAAACTCGTTCTTTAATATACTATTCTAAGAAATTGTACTTATTTTTAAACGGAACCAGCAATTCTTCCTAAAATGTATATACCTGCCACACCGGGATAGACGATTAACGGACATGGTCATAAAAACATCGTAAGCCGATATTGAAGAATAATAATTTATGACAGGTTGCCGACAACAGACCTTCAGCACAAAATAATCATTTCCCGTATTCTTTTAAACTATTAATTTTAATGCTGGAGATAATTATTAGATATACTCAAACACAATTTGGATACTGTAGTATGGGAATAAAAACAAAAAAAATATTCTTTTTAAGCGTACGTAATAAATATTGCACAATTTGCGACACATCAAACAGCAAAGCGATGGCCTATTTGCAAGAAAGAAGAAAATATTTTTCAGTCTTGAATAACTATGCTACAGTAAAATGTTTATTTTTTAAATTTAACAACACAATCCCTTCTTCTGCACCTATGGAACGGGTGTTTAGTAGCGGAAACCAAATTCTGACACCAAGAAGAAATAATTTAGGTAACAATACGTTCGAAATGTTGTTAATTTTAAAAAATTCATTAAACAATACATAAAAAAATACATGAACATATTTTCAGTTATTTTATTCGCCAAAGTTTCAAAAAGTATCTGTTTTCTTTATCTATTATCTAGATACATTTCGAAAAAATCGAAAACAATCTGTATCTAGATACTTTTATCTTCCATGTATCTATATTTATATCTAGATATTTTTAAAAGTATCATCTGTCCCCAACACTGACAATACTGTTATTATTAGTATTACACTGCACCAATCTAAGTTGAAATACTTATTCTTACAAAAATGATGATTGACGTCTTCACAAAATATTGTGATGAAATTTTCATTCGTTGTCAGATCTAGGGGCGGAGCGTAACTGCAAAATCCATATTTACATACAAAAATTAACATTTCAAACATGTTTTAAGTTTTTTGTTGTGAAAAGAAGACAACGTATATTAAGAAAAAAGAAGTAATATGTGAGCCCCGCCCACCCGCCCTGTTTCAATTGTGATAATTTTTAATCGTCGTTATTTACAAAATTCTTGTTATTCTAAAAGGAAATTGCCATGTGATTAAGTAATCGTGTCCTTCAAAGAAAACTGTGCATATTAAGTAACAAAATAGACAACGTATGTTAATAAAAGAAGACTGATATTGCCAAATAACACATACTCTAAGAAAATAAAAGGCGGGTAGGCGGGGCTAATATTTACCAAAACAAGACTGATTTTAGCAAATAACCTACTTTCTAAGAAAATATAGGGCGGATGGGCGGGGCTAGTACTTGCTAAGTTAAGACAGATTTTGGCAAATGACCTACTCTCTAAGAAAATGAAGGGCAACTGGACGGCGCTGGCACCTACTTAAGACTGATTTTGCTAAATGTTTTTTTTAGCTTAAAGGTTTATCGTTGTTAATCTACAATTTAAAAACCACGCTGATAGAGAGGCTCGCTAAAAAGTATGGAAACGGTTAAATATCTTAAGAACCAATTGTACAAATCAATTGAAATTGTTTTATTTAATAATAATAAATATTCAGAACAGCCTGTTCGATTAAGTATAACTGTATCAATAATTTTAGTCCCCTGTTTTGAGGCGATAAACTCATTCAAATCAAAACAATTTTTACTTCCCGAGCGTAACCTAAAGAAATATAGTATTTGAATCCATCTGACGAATGGCCACTTTTATATTTTTTGTCTTGCATTGGTAATGGTCTGTTACTAGTATTATCTGTTGATTACGTCGTCACAGAATTGTGTTTATTCATCAAATTAAGAATGACTATTCTCTATTTTCTTGAAAGTAGAGAATGCGCCCGGCGATATTTAATAATTGTAAAATAATGACTGATATTTGCGTTCCCATGGCGCAGAGATTGGGGGGTGCTATTGACGCCGGTTCATCCGTGCATCGAAAAGAATCGAGGAATTTTTATGACTTCGATTGTCTAGTTTGGTCCTGAAGAAACCCCAAATGTGCTGTGTACAATTTGTCACATACTTAACAACGAAACTTATAGTGATTTCCAAAAACTACACAACAAAAATGTATCAGCTGTTACTGTTATATGTGATGTGTTTGTGTGACGAATAATAATTAGAGCACAACTTCTTGTACCCCTATACCTAATTTCAACTGATTTGTACAACCGGTTCTCAAGATATTTAAACATTTTCATACATTCTAGAGACCCTGTCTAAAGGTTATCAGAAAACAAACATTTTTTATATTTTTTCAAAGAAGCGCAATGCGTTAGACTGTACTTCTAGGGCGAGAGAAGTTCTGTCGAAGTAACGTTGGACCAATTTTTTTTATACATAAATTTTGATTCACGATTTACCATGTTCACGATAACTTAAAATGTTTGCTTTCTTAGACAAATTTTGAACAATTTTGACTTTTTTCCCAAAATCTGGATGCAAAATTTTGAGTTGATGTCATCAATTTGTTGGTGGGGATGATTTGACGAATTTTGA